CCCTAGTGAGGATTAAGCGGTGTATAGATAATGGATGGATGGATGGACTTTGTCTATGCTTGGGCCCTATTAACTCCAGATGAGTCTGAGGTCCTCTGATATGTGAGAAGTCTTGATGTGTGGACATGCACATGGACAGCTGCAGAGACCACAGACACGTGTAGTTGTTATAACACCACTTTCTAATTTTGTAAGAGTCAGCTTAGATAACCTCGGAGTGTAATTGGTGCACAGCTACAAGTTTTGGCCTGAAGTCTGTGCTGGAGTCCTCATGACTCCTGTTTCTGAAAAGCATTACATATAAAGTTATTAATACTATTTCCATCTCATATTAAAGAATGAACAGGGCTGTTCTGTGTAATCTAGCTTATGACTTTTCACTGAGTTTAAAATGGAGAGGGGGGAAAAAAAAACAACATATTGGAGTTGTCAGTGGATTTATACGTTACCAGCATCATAAAGCACAATAACACCTCACAAAACAATACACAACATTTTTCCTCATAGCAACAAACATTTGTGAAATAAGAACACCCGACCTAACACAAGAACAGCTACTGAATGTTGGTCACACAAATTAAAAAATATTAATATCCTTTCTGTGTCTTACTCGATAAAGTCACACATTAGATGAAGTAATATATGAATATGCCTGTTGTCACTGCAGCCGTCTGGAGAACAGCTAATAATAAATAACAAATCAACAGCTGTAGGCCAACCACGGCCACAGCAGCGGACACACAGTCCATTTAGCAGTTTGTGTAACAGGATGGAGTCCACAGAGCCCCAGTGCAGCATCTCCGCCTCAGTCCGTCTGACTCTTACTGTATATGACACAGCAACAGCGTTTTTCACCACAGAGCCACAGTGTGCATCTGTCTGCAACTATAACCAGCCTCAGTAAGCTGAGAAACCATCAAACTAAATGTCCTTGACTGGCTGTCCTCGTGAGTCCACCTCCACATGCACACACACACACACACACACACCTACACCTACACACACACACACACACACACAGACACACACACACACACACAGACATTTCACTTTCCTGTAGCCGAAGCCACAACAAGAGGACTCCATCTGATTGTGATGATAAGGAAGTGGGGGCCAGGCATCTGTTCACAGAGGCATGTATCCTCTCACTGTGCACTAATCACAGTTCACATGACTCGCTCATATGTGCTGTTGTGTTGTGTTTTTAACAGAAGCCTACAAGGTGTCATTACTGGACATTGTTCAAGATTCAGACAATATAAGAATGAAGAAGCCGGATATTCGCTATAATACATTTCATGACTTCTTTCGAGTGCAGGCTGTGGACAGAATATAAACACAGACTATCTTAAGGTTTCACTAAATGATAATTAACACTTTGTGAAGGACCCTTTAACAAACAGGAAATAGAAACTGTTGAGCTGTGCAGAATGCAGCATTTGATAAACTGAGGAGAACAATAAGCTCCTTTTTTTAACGTCTTGATGTTCTTGTCCAGTCTCAGTCTTCTCCTCTCTAACATCGCTGTCACAATGTAAAATCACCATATGGGTTAGAATAACAGACCTCCAGGGGCTGATAATGGGGCACTTCATATAAATGCTCATACTCCTCCTGCCTGCACCCGGAATGACTACAGAGCTCAGAAACACATGCAGTCAGCAGACACTATCTGCCATATAGTTGTGGGAGAAAGCACTTTGTTTGACCGCAAAGCAACCAGAGTGACACAAGAATATTAATTCAGTCAATCTATCTCATCACCTGCTTACTGAAAGTCTGCGCTTGTCTAGTTTCAGTTTTGATAAATCCTCCGAGTGCTGCTTCCTGTCCTTGTTTCGTTGGGGCTGAATAACGATGATCTCTCAACTCCGTATGTAACTGTGTGAAACCTACAACAAAAGCATATGTTTTATTTTTTTTAGCTGTTATCAAGCTGCAAGTGAGCTTCAAAGGTATTTTTGTGATTCAACAGATGTGTGCTGTATGCTTGGAATGATAAAAGCATCGCCGAGGGCAAAAGCAATATTTAAATCAAATATTTCCACAGACTCAACATACAGTACCTTCCAGCACAGCGCAGCAGCTTAATGCATGCAATTGTTGGAAATAAACTGTGTTTACAACCCCGACAAAAAGCAGGAAGCAGACTTGTATGAGATCACAAAAACACACCCTGTTGACAGGCATGAGAAAATGAAATATAGATGAATTATTATGATTGTATCTCCAAATCACAGAACCACAGACAGAAACAACACTGATATGATCAAATGACTGGGCATCTGACAGACTGTAATTCCTACAATGAAGCACTGATCATTGATTTTTTTTAACATTCTACTGCATTTACATAGAATTTCCTTTTAGATAACATAATTTGGAAAACTGAAAGTATCTTCAGGCTCGCTCGAAGGCTTTTTCTTGAATGCTGCCGCTGCTGTCATCATCCAGACTGTCTACAAGTTGCAGCATCTTTAATATGGTCACAATGGGGACAAGTAAAGAAGTACAAATAACTGCTTATATTGCTGCTGGACCAGGACGACTCTCACAGCAACGTCTTAAGACCTTTAATGTCCATTTAACAGCACCTAATTCTCAGTAGTTATCTTAGTAAGACACAATCATCCAATCAATTCTTTTCATAGCTGCACAGAAGAACAAATAAAGATGCTGTGGACCTTTGTGTAAATCCAAGATATTAGGTTACCTGTGTCTACCATTTTCAGCATGTTTGTGAACGTTTACCGGCTCTAACCACAATTTAATTGTGAAAAATCTTAAATTACAGACTCTAATAAACCAAATATGACAAGGACCAACTGCTAAGATTTCCATTTTGTCGCTCATCCAACATGCTGTTTCAGAAGCTCACTGTCAGCAAGTGCAAAAACAAACCAAAAAAAAAAGAAAATACAAAAAGCATTACAACTTCCATCATAAAAACAGCTGGCTTGAAAAGCATTATGGGAAAATGTGCTGCAGTTTGCTGATTTTTTTTACCCTCGAGAGCATTTAATATCCAGACAACAGCTGGGTCAGGCCTGAAAGCTGCTTCATCCATACAACAGGTTTCTGCAGCTCTAATGAGGACACAGACAGAAGCCCAAAGATTTTCTAGCTGGAATAAATATGAAGATAGATAGAAAAACAACTAAACAGGCAGTGAATGGCCTGTAATGTATAAACACAGACTGGAGGGAAATGAGTGCAGGCCACAGTAGGAGATTGATATAATGAGATACAACAGATACTGAGCATGGGGCACATTTTTATAAATAACCTCCTATCAGATTTCTATATCATAGACTGTCTCCAAATCTATTGAGTGAACAATCAGAGAGAAACAGTTGGTTAATAGTTAAACGA